TTTCGCTAGTCCACTTCACCGGGGTAGTGCAGAAGCCAGGAAAGTTCCCCACAATAGCGGGACCATTCCCCCGCTTACAATAACATACACTTTTAAAACAGTCCCTGTCCTTCCTGACAGAGGGACTGGAATACCGATAGAGCACCTGAACTCTAAGAAACAGAAAGACAAAATTTTTACTTACAAATAAAATAGAGATATAAATTACATTTGGTGCAGAAATTTGGTTGCTAAGGAAATTATGGAGTCCATGTGCATTAAGAGATTACATGGATTTGAAGCCACTTCAGCCAATTAAATCAAGTTGCATTTTTCACTTAAGCTATTTTGTATGAGGTTTTATTTTGCTGCAGATGGTAGTGGGTTTGGTTCAAGGCATCTCAGTTTTATATTAGAAATTTAAGTACTCTATTGAGTGAAATAAATGCACTAGCCCATCATGCTGTTTTCCAGAGCTACTGCACTAAAGATGTTCCAGTGTGTTTTACTATAAGGAAAACTACATATTACTCTGACAAGAAGAGACTACTTAATACCCCTCCTTCCATTCCCACTAAAAATGCTACTATATTGTTCATAGAAAACGATAATTCTGAAAGTTTATATTTGTGAATTAGACTAAATTAGTATAAAACAGTGGGAGGAAATAGTATGACCACAAAACAGAGAACCTTAATTCCTGACATTTATGTTAATCAATGAGGTAAGGTACAACCAATAAGTGGCAGTCACCCATTAATTATCCCATCTCTCAATACCGAAGGTGCCAGAGGAGATTAGCCATAGTATAGTTTACAACAATATATTCCTCACTATCCTATAGAATTAAATATGCCTTAAGGTTACAGTTATAGAATGTTAAAAATGCTTAGAATATGCAGAAATAAGTTTTTTTAATAATACACTATTAAACTTCATTTAAAGTTGCGTTAATGAAATACTAGTAAAGTACATGTTATACGTGTTAATAGCAGAAGAGGCCATAAATTACTAAAAATATCAAACTAACATATTTAAAAAAATGTGGATAACATTTCCTGGCCAAGTTTCAAGTGCTGCTACCCATCTTAACATAAGCACTCTATCTGGGTCACATATGCACAGTTAATTTAAAATCAAATACTGTAAATAAGATTCTTCACTTGTCTTAATAACAAAAGCTTAGAGTATTAGAACTCAAAGAATTTTTAAAATCCAATTTACTTTTCTATCTCAGTACGGAGAATGAAAATCAACATAATTGCTTCACTTTCAATCAAGTTCTCAGTCTACAAAACCTGAGTTTCAAATTTTTTTTTTTTTAAACACCTTTCTATTGAGATTTTAAAAAAAGAAAGGAGATTTTTTTTTCCCCCTCTACAAAGCGTTAGTTTTGAGCTATAGGTAAGCTAACCACATCCCTTTTACTGAAAATATGGTAACAAGAACAAAGTTTAAACTCGCCTCTTTAAGCTTGTTCTTTGGGTCTGTGAGGAGGAATACAAGCTGAGAAACCAATTACCTGCATCAGTTTTCTTGAGAGTTCATTAGTGAGAAATTCTTCTTCCTTTTCATAGTTTACTGCAAGTGTCTCTTTCTCCTTCTGCAAAGCTTGAATCTTCTTAAATAGAGTATTACTGATGAACTCCTCTTCCTGTTCTGCCCTTGCTTGCTGTGAAAAGAGACATTGCAAAAAATTGGAAGTTTCCATATTGAAAGCTACAACTATTTCTCTTTGCTCTTAGAGTACTGTAAAAAAAATAAATACGGTAATCCTTTTCATCTGTCACCTGGACCTCAAAAGTACTATATACAGCTAAGTAAACCCCATTACTTTAATTGAAACTCTGCCTGCATAGCGCCATATGTTCCTTTCTTTGTTTCTTTTGTATCAAGTTTGGATCCGAGCATTTTTTTCTTGGATCACATTAAGAAATGTCCATCCTACAACTGGCAACAATTAAACTTTAAAAAAAAGGGAAAAAAAGACACCTCTCTCCCCACACACACACTATTGGTTGGGGGTGACTATCACCCCAACCTTTCAGCTTTTCTCCTTCACAGATAGACTTTTTCAACCTTTACTACAGACAAGGTGTTTTTTTTTTTAAATTCATCAAATCATCCAGCAGTACTCCCTTCTCCATAGAGTTCCAGAGGACAGAGGTTGACTGCCACTTATTTCTCCATTCAAGGAACTCTCTCTCCAGGAGAGCATCCTTAAATTTATCAGAAGGAAAATGAAGCAGCATTCACACTCAGTCTCTCCTTGGAGGTTAGGTACTGTTCCATAGGAGATCAGCCCCTCCAACCCCTCCATCTTCTGGGTCCTTCCTGCAGAGTTTAGATCCTCCTAACTCTTTTCGTATCTCAGAAGTTCTGCAGAAACATTACAACCTGCTTGATGCATACTTTCGAAGCCCACATAGGCCACACAGACTATTACACAGATGCAAACTCAAGCTCATAGCTAAATAATGCAACAGCAAAGCTCACGCCTCCAAAAATAGATCACGCCTAACTAAAACCAACAGAATAAAACAAATTAAGAATTATAGGCCAACCATTTTTTTAGGAAATGAGTCAATACAGTGTTAAAAAGTTATGAAAAAGTTTAAAACCCTATTTTTTTGAACTCTAATATCCTTGTCCATTTTGCCCCAAACTTATAAACAAACAAACAAAATCTACCCTGGACTAACATGCAGCATGTAAAGATTTAGGCAGATCAGTTTCCGTTTGGCAGGGGTGAAAAGAGATGGTTAAAAATCCAAAAACCAGAATTATAACAGGGTGTTAGTCTAAAACTTAACTGCACCTCTGTAACAAAAATCCTTCAGGCAAAACCTAACAGTACACAACATACATTGTAAGTTCAGTAAACTTGCAACAGAAAGCTTCTCAGAACACTTAATACAATAATATGTCATTCCTATTTGAAGGAAAGCCATATTCCCCAAAGCAACTATTTTATTAGGAAACAGCTGCTATAGTTACAATCTGCAAGGAAATTTGTTCAGAGAATCCTCAAACTTCTTTCAAATGCACAGGACTCTCACCATAGAAAACATAACACCCTGGCAAAGCAGTCTTGTGCAATTGAAATACTCAGGTTTCATCTGCAGTGTCACAGATGTGCTATATTCAAACAAGGTCCGGTGCCCCTATCATTAGTAATAATGTAAGGATGTGTCTGAGTGTCACATCAGGAAATTACAAACCCCACGTATAAAGGTCAGCAAGCTCTTGGACAAATGCTACATTAAATTGTTAGCTTTCATCCAGAAGATGTCTAACATGAGAGACCTGATATTGGAATAAAATAATAACAACAACAACAACAACAACAACAACAACTGTCAAAAGAAGCTTTAAAAAATAGGCAGGTATTCACAACCTCAAATCTATAACCGGGACACAATGAAGTTCAGGATAGAGAACAAATACATACATTAAAGTCAAACGGTTAGAGTCCTTCACAGGACTATTGGCGTTGAGTCCTTCACAGCACAAACTAGTTCTTAAACCCATTCCCTTCACTGCCAGTAACACACATCATTACTGTTGGTGTTTGCTTTTCAATGCTGAAAAGACATTAAAAAGGCCATCCTATACTGTCTGCCTTTAAAAGGTCTAAAATTAAACAAAACCTAGTACTTTGTTCTGAATAAGAGACCAGATAATTAAGTGACTGACACACTTAAGTAAAAGTACTAACAGTAAAAGTTTAACGGATATAATAGTTAATCTTAACACAAGGAATGCAGATCTATGTTACTTGAGAATTTGAGTTTGACACATGCCAACTATGAAAACAGGTAAATACGGTATTGTTACTAGAATGTGCTACGAAAGGATGCCAGCCCCCTGCTGCCATACTTTCTAACCCCATGCAGTCTGTCTTGCTAAACACATGAGGTAAATCCAGATATGGAAGCAGAGCCTTGAGATCATACCAAAGTGTCCTGAGCTCTCTGAGAGGTTGACGGTTTGGATATAATTTCTTTGCTTCTCCTGCCTTTCCCACAATAAGCAACTTTATAGAGGACAGTGACTCTTCCCACACAGAGACTTGAAATATGCTAGACTATTAACTGACTTTCACAAAACTGTGGCTCTGCTTCATCCTTATTGTTTTGGTGGTACAGTCCATGACTGACTCTGGATGAGGCTTGGATAAGGAGGTCCCCCAAGAAGAGGTAGACTTGCCTAAGAGCTGATATTAACACTACTTTCACTTTTGTAAGCACTAGCAGAGCTGTTGCTAAACCAAAGGGTTAGGACCTGCATTGGTAAAAGTGTTGAGAGCAAAGCTTAGGAAACATCTGAGACCTTGGCTACACTTGCGAGTTACAGTGCTATAAAGCCGCCCCCCAGTGCTGTAACTCACTCCCCGTCCACACTGGCAAGGCATTTGCAGCGCTGTATCTCTGTGGTTGCAGCGCTGCATGTACTCCACCTCTCCGAGAGGAACAGCGAGTATTGCACTGCCGCTGCAGCGCCAGTGTGGCCGCCCAATGCGCTGTGAATGGCCTCCAGAATTACTCGGCAGTATCCCACAATGCCTGTTCTAGCCACTCTGGTCATCAGTTCAAACTCTACTGCCCTGGCCTCAGGTAACTAACCATGTGACCGATCCTTTACATTCCCCGGGAATTTTAAAAATCCCCTTCCTGTTTGCTCAGCCCGGCGTGGCGTGGAGTGCTATCAGCGAATCTTTCCAGATGACCATGCCTCCACGCGCCAAGCGAGCCCCAGCATGGAGCAATGGCGAGTTGCTGGACCTCATCAGTGTTTGGGGGGAGGAAGCTGTACAGTCCCAGCTGCGCTCCAGCCATAGGAATTACAATACCTTCGGGAAGGTATCAAAGGACATGATGGAAAGGGGCCATGATCGGGTTGCCCTGCAGTGCAGGATTAAAGTGAAGGAGCTGCGGAGTGCCTACCGCAAAGCCCGCGACGCAAACGGCCACTCGGGTGCTCCCCCCCGCGACCTGCCGATTCTACAAAGAGCTGGATGCGATACTTGGGGTTAACCCCACCTCCACTCCGAGCACCACCATGGACACTTCAGAGCCGGTGGGGGTGGGGGGGAGGGGAGGGGAGGAGGAGGAAAACGGGCCGGATGGAGACACCCCGGAATCCCGGGAGCCATGAAGCCAGGAGCTCTTCTCGAGCCAGGAGGAAGGGATGGTAGCCAGTCGCAGCGGCCAGTACTTGGTGGAGGACAAACAGAAGAGCAGGTTCCCAGTAAGCGTTTTTTTTTTCGGGAAGGAATTTTTTCGGTGCGGGCTCTTTCGGAGAGGAGGGTTAGGCATGCATACCTAGATGCGGAATAGTGCATTGATGTGGTTTATCACATCGCGGTAATCGGCCTAGGTAATCTCCTCGAATGTCTCATCCAGAACATGTGCAATGCGCTTGCGCAGGTTTATTGGGAGAGCCACCGTGGTCCTTGTCCCAGCCAGGCTAACGTGTCCGCGCCACTGTGCCACGAGGGGCGGGGGCAGGGGGGGGACCATTGCTGCACACAGGCAAGCTGCATATGGGCCAGGGCGGAAGCCGCATTGCAGTAGAAGACGTTCCCTTGCTTCCCAGGTCACCCTCAGCAGCGAGATATCATCCAGGACGAACTCCTGTGGAAAATGTTGGGACAGTATTCAGTGTAGGTGCCCCCTGAAGCTGTTGGCTCTCCCCAAGGCACAGAAACCCAGAGGGCAGTGCAGCCCTGAAACGATCAGTCCCCCTTACTCACCATTTTGAGGCTCCCGTGGGATGTGTGCGCTCTGTTTCGGACGGGAAAATTATGCTATTGTGTAGACCCTGTGTGTTTTCTACTCCTTAAGTGCGGGGGGAATCATTACTCTGTCTGGTATAAACAACGCTGCCTCTGTTAAATGTTGCATTTTGCCTATACAGCTGCATCAACCTTGAGACCTCAGCCATCCCTCTTATCACCTGCTCAGAGACTGCAAACACTCAGGAAGAGACTGCGAAAAAACAAAGATGACATGCTGCAAGGAGTGATACGGCAATCTAAAGAGAATGAGAAAGCACAGGACTGGAGGGAGAGCGGAAGCAGGAAGCATCAGGAAAACACAGCGGACCGGGGGCAAAGCACCCTACTCCCGCAGCAAAGAACCGAAACGCTCATAGGC